TGCTGTGGCAAAGACAACCTTTCCTACGCTGTCACCAAGAAATTCTATTCACTACCACTGACGTCAGGAGTTCTTGCCACGCTAATACTACTGTGTACCAAATTTCAGTCAGTAAACCTCAATTTAAAAGAAAACTTGGAAATGCCCAGGCGCAGATACAAGGATATTATTTAAACAGATCTTAACGGGAGTGTGATGAGTGTAAAGGCAGGCCTATACTTTCAGAGGCCAAGCGTTCGTGTCAACTGTGTTAGCCGTGTTATCGAGACTAACACTTTGAAAAACAAAAATGAAGTCCTCTGTCTTACGTTCGTGGTTCAGTGGTACTCCACACATGAAACAGAGCAGAAATGATCAAATAAATTGCATCGTTTGCTAGTTCCAGCCATCCAGGCGCTGTTAGCCATCTAGTCGAGGCTTACACTTGCGGCGAGGGTAACCACGCCAACATTAGTAAAATATTAACAACACTGAACTTAGTAAGCACATCTCGTCGTGTCTGTTAGTAATTCCATTTCCAATGTGCCAGATCAGTCTTAGAGGCGGGGATCCGGGAACTCAGTCATTATGATACAGCCATTACATGAGGAAATATGTCGTCCTGCGTGTCAGTCAGTCAATTAATCGGTCGATCTATCACTCAATCTACTTAATTCTGAGTTACGTAATAAACTTATTTATACGGATCTATAATCATATTAGTGTGTATATTATAGAAAAATATACGATATTAAATAAGCAACTCACATGAAACAAAGGTGTCCAGCGGCAAGATACAAAATATCACAAAAAATAAAACTATCGAATTCCTTTACAACTTAATATACAAAAATGCTTTGTTTTATTACAATATTATAATGAAAGTCGCATATACTTAAGCTATTTTAGGTTTTTAAATTATTTATAACAATAGTGTTAATTCGATGAAAGTTTAAGTTGGCGGGAATGAAACTCGTTTGCGTTGAAAAGTAACACAATTTATTTCAGCATTATCTTCGTAGATCTCAATGCAAATACAAAACATAAAATGTCTTTATTAACTAATTGCGAGAAAATATTCACGGCGACTGAAACCAGATTAACGCCAAATGAACGGACACAAAAACGATAGCCCGAGTGCAGTCACCCCCAGACTCCAGCCATAATCGCTTTTTCATTTCTTGTTACCACAGTCGCCAACGTCAGAACTTAAGTTCTTTCCAGATCTCAGGAAATGTATACTTGTCAAGCAAGAAGGACACTGGCTATTAGATTAGGAGTAGATACAAATTCTCCAATTTCATGTAACACTTTTCCACGTCAGACAAAATTTCACTTTATAATCAGAACTAACAATAACAGACATTCATATACCCCTTCATTTATTTTATATTTTTAACTTCAGCTGTTGTGATACGACATATCTCTTCATTCATAAATCTTGCTTGAGTTTATCGCCTTTAAGAAACCATCTATCACGTGTCCTCCGGTAACATGACAACGTACAAATCGATATCGTAGTTCAGTGTGCAAAGACCTACTTCATTAATACAAAATGATCTCTTTAGACATTAACTTTTATGATACTGTACGGCAAGGAACGAAAAGAATATACGAAAAAACACCGATGGATGGAGGGGAACAGATAGTTCGTTCAGATGCAAGGCGAAGGCTTAAATCGAAGTTTATCTGTGGTCTTCTAATAGGCCCGATGCTAGCTTTATGGAGCTGTTATGAATTTGTCAGCAAAGAATAAGGCCAAGAAAAACGCGAACATTTATCCAAGCTCCCAGCTTGATTCAAATTGCGATCTGCGTGCTGAGGGAGGCCCAGACAGATCGACCGCGCATCCACACCCTCTGATCGTAATTTCTTCATTGCATTAAACCTTTATAAAACTAAACCCATATTTCGTCGAAATCTGTGTCTATTAGGCAAATCGTCTGATCCCGAGAACACAACATACCACAAATAAACAGAAACTGTTTACCGCAGGAATATAAAAACAATATGTAGGATTTGAGGTTCTCACGGCGGTGAGTACAAAGATGGCTGTCTCTGGGTTGTAGCGCCGTCTGGTAGAAGTTTTCCAACGTTTCAGAGGTCTTTGCTGTCTCCAGCATCAAGGTGATGGCCATCATAGTCCTGACGATGAATACAAGGGCCTCTGAAACGTTTTTAAAATACCAGACACACGGTGCTACGACCCAGAAGACAGACATCTTTACAAAGTCAATAATTTTACCAAAATTTACGTGAATTAATATCAGGCTTACATGCCCTACAACCACGTAAAAATGTTCCGTACTGCAATTCGCAGAATGTACTCAAAAAGGAAAATGTCTGCTACAAAACGCAGAATATATTCACTGAAACAAGAAAGGCAAAGTGAAAATGTGCTAACCGTATAATGTACCCCGCATACGTAGCACGAGTTTCTGAGATGTGACTTGCATCTAGGTACACTAACACATGCAGTACTGCTGTGCACTATTTTCTGCATCTAGAAGTGAGTACCCATAGAAAACGAAAAACCGTTCCTTGGAATCTCGTTATAAACAAAGTTTTCTTGATTTGGGAATCCATGCAGTTAACGTAAGAGTCACATAACATGCGCGCCATGTGTGTGCACAGGGAATTCTGAATCACTTCCCATTTTCCACATTTGTTGTTCAGAGAGGTGGAAGGACTTATGTATCGCCCTATATCTTTACAGTCGTTTATCAGACTGTAAGACAGCCACATATATAAGACGACCCCCCAAACACTTCACAAAGAAGAATAAACCATTTTATTGCATGTCTAGATAAAAGATAAATTATGTATTTGCATTCACTAGTTCATTATTTCAGTTCATATCTCGAGCATTTAACCCTCGCAAAGCACAAAACTACTGATGTCACAGCCCAGCTGATGGATAAATGAATGTGTTACATTTGACAGAAAGTGTATTTTGCTGTTCGCCAAGCTCCAGGAGACCCCCTACCACCCGAATTCTATTATAATGATATATGATAGCCTACATACGGTATATGTGTCTCATAATCGGGTCGTTATCTGTTAGTATATGGTCAGTCGGTACTGAAGTCCCGAACGGAAGTGTAGGTCCTGAAATGTGCGTTGAATGTCCAAATCTACTAAATCACAACGTATTTTGTCTAGTGCTTATTCGCCGAGGAAAATGCATGGTAAGTCTGGATTATGCATTCCTTTTTATAACTTATCTAGCTATCCCGTATAGATTTATATAACACGTGTAGTCCTTGTACCAGCGCTGATTGACTCCTTGGATTAATCAATAAACGACTTTTTGGCACCACTAAATTGTTATTGTCGAAACTTATAGGCTTATAATGAACAATTCTGTTTATCTGCTTGCGGCTTGAGGAGATTTTAGCTATCCTATGTGAAAGAATCAACAATCAATCTGCGACGTACGCACTTTGAACTGCAGATATGAAATGTGTATTAGCATTTAGCCATTCTGGATGCAGCGACGTAATTTGAACCGTGTGACAAAATCTGAATTCAAACGGCGTTTCTACACACGTGAAAACAGATTAAACAGTGTGACAATAGCAACGGGCCCTCATTCTTGTCTCATTAGCCTAAGCTGCTGTTTCATTGTCAAGTGCTGTTGCCCTGACATGTTTTTATATTACAAGTTGCGCTTTTTCAGAATGGATACTATTAATATTAACATTTTGTCACTCGTCATTTATTGTTATTTCACACAATTCTATAACTATGTTAAATATTTCTATAAAATGAAATGCATGTTACTAATTCCACGGAACAGTCTTTCTCGAGAAGTTAATAAGAAAACGCTCAGCTAATCCAAAAACTCCGCGTCTTTTATACAACCCGAAGGTTCACAAGAGTCCGCCAACGGTTTTATCCTGCGCCATATAAATAAAATTCGAACCACTAAACTCTGTTTACCAAACTTCCATTTTAATACTGTCCTCTCACACAATATATCTGTGTATAAGCGTACCTAGTAAGAACATATAGCCTTATACATGTGGTATATAAGGTTTTCAAGGTGTTAAAAAAATCGACTGCATTTTTCCGGGCTATGATACCATGTAGTGTCCCTAGAGATAACGGCTACACAGCCTTCCAGAACGTTGGTAACCACTTATACGACTAGACGGCTCTTTTACCCAGAAGACCATTTATCGCATACACCTTATACACGTATACGTATAGACGGTTCAGAAGTCGATGAGTGTAAACCTTTAAACTTATTGCAAGAATCAAAATGTGTTATTAATTTTGCCAATGGCATCACAGGTAAGTACAAAAGGTACTTTATGAAAAATATGGCTTAATAAGTTAGTTTATATTGTCATAATACAGTTTGTGCAACAAAAACATATTAAAATACAGAAAACTAGGAACAAATGGTGCCGACTTACACTCGCTGGTTCCCGAAACGTCCATATGTAGCAGAACAAAAGTCCAACATTGAACTTTATTCTGAAGCATCTGAATTCAAATTCCTCACAATCTATGAAGACATTAAGACACATTTAGAGCAGAATACTCCATAATAAACTGACCAAAACGATGGAAAGAATGTAATTAGGATATCTAGGGTACAAACGACAGTTTCTATATGAACCGGACGGGAAACGTAGAGAAAGCAAAAACTTAGTTCCAGAGTTATTGACCCAAACCTTGAAGGGAATAAAAAGAAGATATTCGACTGGAAGAAGAAAATAACTAGAAATAACATTAACTCGTTCTTAGTTTTCTAATAGAGGTCCTCTGAGAATTGATTCACCTGAGCAGGGAGACAATAGTTATGGCATGCCACCACAAGGAGACAACGGTTCTAGCACACCTGTGGACTGGAAGCCAGCAGTTTACGTCATCGTCTAATTATACTGATAATCAAGTTTCAGGCTATTATCTACCGAAAACAAAAACCCTGGTGCACATAAATACCTGTGCTATGCGATACAAACGTCATATCAGTGTGTCTAACTTAAATAATTATCTTACCCTTCCAGTCATCAAATTCAGTTGTTGGCTCAGTGATAAAGAACAGGAAAAGTTAAATTACTGTCTGTTGTTGCGCGTTCGTTTTACGATTTTAACAAAACGAACGTTTGGACCTACATAGGAAATAGTGTCTGTCCGTCTGTCAGAATGTTTCAATTCGAGACCGCTGGACGAATTTTGATTAAATTTCATATGATCATTTTGCGAATGGAAACCAACCCAAACTAGTGCTTTGGAATTCCAGACAATCGGCAATTAAAGCATGGCGGACGCACTAATTTATGAGGTAGAAGCGACTTTAGGGTAATTTATTAGAGTCCTGAAATTATGTATGTATATATAATTACATTCAATGGATCCATAAGACAGTCAGGTGACAACACGATGTGGAAAAAGTCATAATAATAATAATAATACAATACATATTATAAAGTACAATTCATACTATTATACAAATTTCACATAATACAAACAAAGGGCTCACCTAAAGAAATGATAAGTTACAAATGGATATTCGAAAAATATGAAACTTTTGAAAAGGCAATTTTTTGAACAATGTTAAACATTAAGGCTACACAAAACCGATATTTCGCTGTCGGTTTTATGGCAGTAATTACGCACTGGAGTTAGGCACTTGAAATTTTAAGTCAGCAATTAAAAGCATGGCGACGATGCGAATCTTTCACGTTATGTCCAAATGTATCCGCCCTTACATAACAAGAAATGATATGAAAAGTATTGAACTGACTACACAAAGGTGCAAAATGGTGAGCTTTTTACTGGTTGTGATGAACTCTGCTAAAGCTGCGTATTAATTAACTACAGGCCGACAGGACGTGGTGCAGTTCGGAAAAACGTAGGAAGAGATGGCGAATGTAAAATAATGGAGTGGGAAAGGGCAAAAAATGGGCCCAGCCAGAAATGTTTTTAAACAATTTAATATCTACTAACCTCTCAGATCTCGTCACTTAAATATCCGAGCAGTTGTCGAAGAAAAACGCGACAATTTTAACAGAAACTGACTGTCAGCCATACCCTGCTTTTGAACTTTGGCTGCTGATTTGAGAAGTTTTCATGGTCCTGACGTATACGCGTATTAAGAATTCCGCTTCAAAAAGGTGTATACGTTACATATAACATAACTTACTTATAAACAGTATCTTTATAGCTTTTAAAGACTATTCTTTTTTCAGCATTTGCGACAGAAAAATGCTTAATAACTTTATGACTTTTTGTATTAGACTTAAAAATGTCAGTTTATTAACAAACAAATGTACATTCCTATTATGTACAGTTTCTGAAAAAAGTGTGCACAAGTTCAGGGGGAAAACAAGCTGCGAAAAAATGGATGAAAAAATCCCAAAAAACAAAACATTATTGGGTTTTTGGATCTTGTCCATCGTCTGATATAAAATACACAACGTTTCGAAGACAGGATCTGTTCAAGTCTTCAGGTGCAATGAAGTGCAGGTGGGGGGTGGGTGGGGGGCACCTACTCTGTGAGGTCCGTTAGAATGAGTTATCTCAATCACTGGACAATCTGGTACAAAAATATGTTTACAAGTGTAGACCATGAAAAAAAATCAGTATATACAGAAAGCCCATAACTACAAGTATACCAAATTCCATGACTGTAGAATTCGTAGTTTAGAAAATTGTACCTTAATATGAGAAAATTAACATTGAGGGAAAAGGTCTTATTACCTCCCGTTAAAGCATATTTTCCAAGGTAAAACTAGTTGGCCCACTTGAAATACAGAAGCGAGACAAGAAAAAGGCCAAGGATGACGCCTTCACTATGAGTTACGACGGTTCTAACATTTGATAACAATACAAGTCATTCCCACTCCGCAAGGCAACGGGTTCTCGTCCTTTCAATTTATGTCTGCTACTGGTTATAAAGAAGACAACAGCGCGACCGTAATCCCATACACAAAAGCAGGGGGGACGCACAAAGCTTATTCCATTACTTATGGCTTTCACAAATGTCACGTCTATAGAGACTGAAACAGAAAGCAATACACCAGGTGAACCGACATCCCCTTCCGGACACGGGAAAACAGAAAACAGAAGAGTTTATATGATTCTTCGCAGTCGAAATTGTAATAACTGTCAGTATAACGTGTGACACCTTAAAAATATACATTGATGTTAGCAGACATTTTAAGTTGATAGTTAAGATTTAGCAATCCAGGTTTGTGTATAATTTCTCCTAGTTGGCTTTCCCATTCAACGCTACATACATAACCCAAGCACTTGAGAAAGAGTCGTTACATAAACCAAGAAACCAGGGCTCGAATCTGAGACCGGAAGCCGGATATGGTTATTAAGTTTTTTTCGTGAAATTTGTAAGTTCCTCTTGAGGAATGCCTGTAAAATTACCATCATCACACCGAACGTCAGCGATTAGAACTTTTGTTTTGTATTCAGGGCACCCAGGTTCTAATCTCGGTCGAGACCGGTTATCCTGAAAGAATTATCATTGTTTTCCTCAGTACCTCCAGGAGCATGCCAAATTAGTAGCCTGAATTAGGCCACGACAAGTTCCTTCTGCATCTTATCCGTTTACGAGGACTTCAAAGGGGCAATGAACCAAGAAATCTGTGTTTCAGTAGTCATGTACGCTACTGTGCGTAGTTTTAAACTGTCATACTGAATTTAAAAATGGTGATCTGATTTGGTAGGGGATTTCTGGATACCAACTTGTTGAGACTGCTGCTCATGAAAAACTAGTAAACTATCAAAAATAAGAGTGAAACAGTATCGATATGATATCTCAAACTTTTTGAGATGAATAAAATCAACAACAGTGCCATGTATAAAACCTTTCTGCATTGGTGAATCAAATAAACAAAAGTACAAAGTAGTGAGAGTGAGAATCTGTTTTTATCAATCCGCTTACAAAACCCCACCATCTGCACAAACCCTGTATTTCGTTATACTTATTCAAATATTCACAACTTAAAATATGTTTAAAAATAAAATCTCTAGATCATAATGAGATCTATATTCTAGATAGTGGAACAATTTTTTTGCAAAGTCAGTCATTCTGAGAAAGATTGGATTGGCCTACTGGACTCACATGAACCATGCACTTTGCTGTAGATTCATAGAAATCACTGAATCCAAGGTAATCTCAAAACTGAGTCCTCTGAAACTGAAGTCCAGTTTTAAATCAAAAAATATTTATTTTCTAAGAAGCTCAGATTTTTTCAGGTGTTCAAAACATCCACTTGCACTCTACATGAAGATTAATTTTGAATAAGAACTGTCTGAAGCGGTCAGTAAATTCAGGTCAGTATGGGGACCAATAAGAACAATGAAGCTGGAGGTAATAGTGATAACACAAATGCCAGCATTTTCAACAGTCCAATCCAAAACTTCTTCAGTGGAAGCTGCATTCTTATAACTGGTGCAACTGGTTTTGTGGGAAAGGCTCTTGTGGAGAAGTTGCTCCGCTCCTGTCCAGATCTCAGAACCATCTACCTACTCATCCGCCCCAAGAGAGGACTTGATGTCCAAACAAGACACAAGGAATTGTTAAAAAATCCAGTGAGTATAACCTTCTTCTTTGGCATTGTCCCCACTACAGGATGGGAAATGGATGAAAATCCCCTGATTTATCTTCATCATCCCACATTTTTACCCCACTGACCCAGGTCCAAATTTCCTTCCCACTTTTAATATGACTAGTCACTTAGGTAAGCCTTCTTGGTCTGGATCTTCCTTTTGGTCTGTTGTTTTTCACTTGCAATTCCAGAACATGATCTACAGTTGAAGTTCTTTCTTAAAAAGTTGACTCCAATCAGTGACTGACCATGCCAAATCCTCCTCACACTTAGAGCATCTTAATTACAACAGTTTCTTACTTAAAGCAGCTGCCTGAATCTAAAGGTGGCAAGTGTAGAGAATGCTGGTGGTCTCTTCACAGTCCAGCTAAACAAGTGTCACTCTTTGGGATTCTCAGAAGTTGTTGTGGAGTGGGGGTGACAAAAGTAATTCTTCCATCAATTCAAAATACTGTGGGAATTTTCAAGCAGATTACCATACCAAAGTTATTTACAGGTTGGTAACAATTCTTAGATGCATTTGTGCTTCTGTATAGGTCTCAAATATTAACATTTGTTCCGTTAATTAATTTTGTATTTCCAATAATATTATCTTCTTTGATCCTGAATGATCTACATCTATATTCATCTGGCTATATTTCCTGCAACAACTGCAGTTTAGTCTGTTTCCTTCTCATAATTTTAAAATTCTTTGTCAAACTATGGTGCTTTAACTTGTAATGACCTAGGCTCTCATTGGCTGACATTCTGATATTCTCTCTAATATTCTCCCCAGGCCCTACTGACATCCACATCATCATCCATGCTTTCCAAAGCTGCAAACCTCTTTGAGATTCTTCCCTCATACTGTTCCTTAACTTCTGAATTGTTTACCTTCCTGAGACAAAATCTTTGCACACCAAACTTTTGTGTTACCAATTTACTTACCAATAGCCCTTCCCTCAGTTTTGCAACCACCAGATAGTGGTCAGTGTCACAGTCAGCCCCTCTAAAAGCTTTTATATCAAGTATACTTGATTGCTACCTTCTGTTCATCCAGACATGATAATCTGATTGTATGTTTCTCCAACAGAAGAAGTACAATTTACTTATGAATTTTGTAATGTGGGAACATTGTACTCTTGATAACTGGACTTTTGAACCCCATTATCATAACTAGTTTTGTGTAATCTCTCATTCCCAAGTGGCTGAAAATATCTTCCCTCCACAACCTTAAAATTAAATCTAACAATAGTTTCATGAGGTACTTCAGAAACTAACTGAAAGCATGCTCTAGTTCCCCAAAAAACCTGTCATTTGTATCATCACTGCAAAATTACTACTAAATATCTTTTGAGGGTCAAACAATTAATTTTTAGGAGACTCTGTATGTGAGGGACCTTGCAATTTACCTAAAAAGGTAACAACATACAAATTAGACATTGTAGGACTAGGAAGTGATGATAATGGCAATTTCTACTTTTCTGTGAAAAAGGGAATGACAATAATATTCTGGGAATCAGCTTGGAAGACCAAGAAGGACACTATTAATATGTGAATTAGAAAACTAGTTGTGATAATATGAATTGACTGAAGTGACTCAGGTTAGTAAGTTTATCTGTTTTAAGTTTCATCTGGACTGTTATTTGGTTAGTCGGTCAGATAAAACATGATCATTTCAGTATGTAATTTTAATGTATAATATCACTGTCCATTTTAATTCTTGGAATACAATCCAAATACATGATATTCACTGTACCATGTTACAGGTGTTTGATCGAATAAGAATGGAATGTCCTACTGCATTCAAAAAGATCATAAGTGTCCGTGGTGATGTGTCAGAAAAGGACCTTGGACTCTGTGAGGAAGACAAGCAGCGTGTAGTAACAGAAGTTAATGTTGTGTTCCATTCAGCTGCTACAGTGCGATTTAATGAGAGCCTTAAATCTGCTGTAATACTGAACACTCTTGGGACTCAGAGGGTTGTTCAATTATGCAGAGACATTCACAATCTACAGGTACTGTTCTGTTGTTCAATGGAGTTCAGTTACTTCAGATGCTTTCATGAGTATTAATCAGGCCTGATGTTTACTAAATTCAATTTGTTTAGCACATGCATTCATGAAATCTAATTTGTTCAATGTACATTACAGTAATATGAGTGATAAGAAAGAACATTTATTTATTAGAGGATGAATACTATCACTAAGCTGCTGCATTAAAATAATGAAATTAATAAAATCCATACCTATTTTCTGGCAATATGCAATGATACATCATAAACTAAATTATCTCTACTCTGACACCAGCCAAGTGCCAGGTCAGAGATGAAGCCCAAGTTATGACTGAGGGTACAGTAATAACCAAAGAACATGGAAAAAAATCTGCTACTTTGTCCACTATAAATCTCAACTAAAATCACCTAGGACTGAACCCAAGTCTCTGTGGTGAGAGAAAAATGTTTGGCTGCTTGAGATATGGCATGGCCTGACATGTCATACTGGCACAATTTTATAAAAGAAGGTGAGGGGGAATTCTTAGGATGTTCATCAAAGGTACCAGTGTATTAATTTAAATATTATGTTGGTTATTATGTGTGCTTTGCACAGTGTGCATACAATAAATGTAGAAAGGATATACAGTATCTACTGGTCCCCATGTTTCAACTTGGGAACTACTAGATGTATTTTATTACATTTCATATAAATATAATGTCACTGGAGGCCATGCCAAATTTGTACTTTCAGATTTCTAGCAATCAATAATAGCAACACAGCAGAAACAAATTTATGATGCAGAAGTGTCACTAGCACCACTTAAGATAGGGTTCTGAGTTGATGAACAGTAACAGATTCTTGGAAAATATGCAACTTTTATTATGGTAATATTTTTGTAGAATATAGAAACAACAAAACAGCAGCTGCATGATGAATATGTCTATTTTTTGGTTTAATGGTGATAACCAATTGATCATTTTAGCTACTCATTTTAAACTTGGTAATGAAATAAATCAAAAGCTTATGTACAAATTCTGTACCATTTATTGCTTATAAGTCAACAATTAAAAGCATGGTAATGGTACACATGTCCAACAAATTTAGTATCAACAGAATCCGTATTTAAGTAATAAGCTCTTTCCAAGAACAAGATAAACAAAGTTAATGCTAAATAATAATCACAAATGTATTTAAAATTGCAAGAAATTAAATATTTAGACTCAAACAGGATTTGATCTTCATTTCATGTCACAAGCTATTTACATAAGATCCATTTCAACATTTCCCACCCATCTTCTGAGTCTCCCAAGCATCCACATTATAAAAGGTTTGTCCATGATAATTCACACAATTATTTTTCCAGCATCTGATTTACACACCTATCCTTCATGGCCCCCTTAATTTATTTGCCCTAACACTTTCGTTAGCATTAGGCATTCTAAATATTTCATTACTTTACCATACAGAGCCAAGAGCATGGACAACAAATCCGCTGTTATGATTATATTCTACATTCCTTCCTGTATTTACAGTGTTTACCATCACATGTTGGAGGATTAAATGCAATCACTGGAAAAGTGACAAAGAAACATTACACTTTTAAAAAATGCCCTTGTAACATATAAAATTCTCTGTACTTATACAAAATTCCCATTATATTCCTTTACCTCAAGTAATTTACTGAACAATGACGTGCTTTAGGAAACATACAATGTAGGAATGTCATCAAATTACAGTGATGTTAAACTGTTCCTGAATATTTAATGTGCTTTTTTTCAGGCATTTGTTCATGTGTCAACAGCATATTCCAATGCAGATAAAAAGGAGGTCCTGGAGACTGTGTATCCCCCACCAGCAGATCCTGAGTGTGTCATACAGTGTTGCCACACAATGACTGACGATGCGCTAGAAGTTGTGGCTCAACGACTGCAGGGCAAACATCCCAATACATACACTCTAACAAAGGCAATGGCAGAGTGGGTAGTAGCAGAACAAGCAGATGATATACCAGCAGCTATTGTTAGACCTTCAATAGGTATAAGGGAACCAGAACTATTCAACTTGTAGGCATTAGAACCCAAAACTTCAATGCCACTAACACAAACAATGAATACTAGAATTTATTATGTCACTCCAATCCACTTCACATAACCCTATTTCCATATCAATTTTAATATTATTCTCACATTCCATCCCAGTCATCCGTAAATAGTTATTTAATAACTTTTGCATCAAGACATGAATGTAGTGATCAAGTGAACAGCATGTCTGCTTCATATTCAGGAGGTCCTGATTTTGGTTCAGAGACAGCTTACCCTGACAGAAGCTTTACATGATTTTCCTCAGTCCCTGCAGGCAAACTTGTCTTAAAACAGATCATAATCCACCTTGTTCCACATCCTATCCAACCCATTATTTGCAATCACTTTACCATTGAGTGCACACATCCTCTGCAGTTGAGAAAGTTTAATTAATTATATATATAAAAAATTTCACATCTCAATTCTGTATGCATTTTGTGTTAGCTGTGTCCAATCCAATATAATCTCTTCCGTTTATTTAGGTGCCTGAATACAAGTTTGAGAAATATAAACCAAAAAGTTCCTTGTCATGTAAACCATTTCGAGTGAAAAATGCAATCCAAATTTGATGAAATTAAATATTTGGAAACAATTTCATAATTCTTACATATGAGTTATGTTAAGGATCCTTTTCATGCAATTATTCAGTTGTATTATATTTTAAAATTACTAAAATACATAACTTTCATTTAGCAGATCAGCATTAGTGATACAAATATCTTAATTACAGTTACAGCAGCATGGCGTGAACCAGTGCCAGGGTGGGTGGACAATGTTAGTGGTATCACTGGTATCATGATGGAGATTGGACGTGGAACCATTCGCAGCATTATATGTGATCAGAAGCTCACTATGGATCTGATTCCTGTTGATTTTGTAGTAAATACATTAATTGGAGTTGCTTGGCACACAGCTACTTACAGGTATAGTGTACATCAACCAACTGCTGGTTAATAACTAAGGATCTTGTGAATCACAATTACATTGAATTTCTGAAGTTCCTGGATTGAACTGCGGGAACATCTACTTTTAGCAAGTCTGTTATTCGTGCTTTAGTAAAAGAGAAAATATAAAATATCTATTTTTTTTCTGCACTTGGAAAATGTGTCCATTTGTGCATTTTATGGTCAAATGTCAGAAGTGCTAATTCAACTTTAACATCTTTCTATCACTGTTTATGTGCAGTCCAGTGGGCCATGATTCACACTACCATATCACTAAACTGTTAACCACTCATGAACATTCAGTCCAAAGCAAAAAATTTTACTGGTTAAACTAGCTTGACATATAAGAACATTCTCATGCTCCATGCTTCAAAATGGTGGCATAATTCCTTGGATATTATATTTAAGGATGCAGTTTAAGAAACACTACAACTCTTAGCATAATATTTCTACAAACTGAACTTCAATGGGCACGTGATACAATGGGGCAAATGCATTAACATTTTGGGAGAATACTGATTTTTTGTTATACGTGTCTATATTTTCCACCTAACAGAGGGAAAGGGGGGAGGGAAAGAAGAAGAAGGTTGTTATGTCATGCTCTGTGCATGCCCTTCTCAGTACTATTGCCAAAAATAAATTTTATCCATTTCCAAACAACGTGAAAAACTTGTATGTGTAACAGTGGAATAGACAGTTGAACAACTTACTTCTGATTGGTGGCAATGCTATTCTGTTGCATAAACCAAGCCATAACAAACAGAGCCAAAATAACTATTATGGATTGCAGGTGCCAACTAAACTGATGGGGATAACAAATATATAAAATAGTTTTTATACAAGTGGCTTGTGGCAATCTCATTTTAATAGACCACATAGAAGAAAATAAATATGCTGCTGGCTTTTAAGTAAATCTCTGGTAAAACATATTCCTGAGCACTCAACATGTACTCAACTACTCAAGA